ATTTGCTACTTGGAGGTGGGCGCTAATGGTTGCACTCTTTTTTAAACTACTGCGACTATTTTCGTACACTATACTTTACAAAACTATTTGTTCCAATACATTTTTATCACTTTTTATTTGTTTTTTTCTGTGATTAAAAATGTATGAAATCAAGTGAGCGCGTCTTTATTCTGGATGTGTATTTGTTTGTGTATTTGTGAGGGAACTAAGGGGGAGGTCAAGAAAGCCTTAAGTAAGGTATTTGTCATGGATCAAGTGATTAATCGGCAATAATAAAAAATGCCCGTGCTGTTTTAAAAATTCCCAACATGAGAGGACAATGTGATAAAAACTATAGAAATAATCATTTCCGGGAATTATCTAATTTGTCTAAAAACAAAAATATTTTTATTTCAAAGGTATAATCAGCTCAGTTTTAGAATATTGTACATACCTACCCTACGTATTTAGTTGATATTTTTTGTAGACAGAGGTATGGAAGAGGTATAATTTAAAAAAAATATCAAGGTGCAGAGTCACGGGCCCGTGGTAAATTCATCGGAATGGTGTTTAATAACTTGCATTTTATCATTATCTACTGGACCATTAAATTGGATTTTATATTTATTATTGAAGCTCCATAACTTTAGCAGAATTTGGGCCCAGATGGCTCTCGCTCTCTCTTAACATACAGCCAGTTCTACAAACGTCCCTTTAAACTGACATAATTTAAAGCGACATTACCGATACAAATTTGACATTCATTAGAGCTTAAAGGCGTCATTTAACCTTAATGGATGTTTGTGCAACTGACGGATATGTCTATTACTCTACTGCTGGATATATGCCTTATGGTAATTGTGTTCTGTTTGGGGCAATTCTGTACCAGGTCGGCCCTGCCCACTTTTGTGTATCATTGTGTCTATGGCACATGTGTCCCAGCTCATTGGCATTTTAGTCTCGCTATCCTTTCACCTAGATGTGTTACGTAGGCGGATAATGTTATTTAGGATCCTGTCCCGTAAAGTAATTCCGAGCATACTGCGTTCCCTTGCTCGCTGAGTGACACTAACTCGATGTTTCGTCCCCTCAGTCAGTCTATGTTGTGTAACTGTAAACCATGACCACAGGTCAAAAAAACCTGTCAAAAGATCATAAGGTTTTGAGGAATTATCTTTCCGGAATTATCGAAAACTTCTTCCTAGATCGTAGGTCTGTTTCATTACACAATGACTCTCTGCCCAATATAATATTGTGTTCCACTTATACCTACTCGTAAAATCTGTCAATGATTTTGTGCTCAACGAATATATATCTTCAGGTGTATTGATAATACTCATCCAAATAGTTTTTTTTTCTGAATGAAGCTTTACTCCGACACTTGCTGAAGCAATACTGAAATCAATTTGCATTTTCTCAAGGTCTTTCGTTGTTTCGGCAATCAAGATCATCCGCTAATCTAAGGTGGTGGAAACCAAATGGCTGCAATGACGCATTCTATTCTAGTTTTGTGGCTATGAACGGAGCTTTAATTTAGTTTTAGGTATAGGCACAACATAAGTAACTCCTTTTAATTAAAATATGGGTAGTAGTGATTATTTTCCTGCTAAGTCTATTAATAATGTTCGAATCGAATGTCTCATTATTTTTCCTTGTAAGTATATCAGCTTATATTAATAAAAGAGTTACCAAACAATCATAATATTTCATTTTTTCTACTTACAAAAAATAATAACTAACCACATAAAAAAGGCGATTGAAGATGGCTTTTGTAAAAAGGCAATGACGATCAAAATCATTCCAACGGATTAGCTACTAATCTATTTTCAAGGAATCATTTTATTGCCTTTTAATGATCGCCTGAATAGCAACATGAATCATTGGTGCCTTCATATGACTGATATTAACCGTTTATATGGCATTGGCCATATTCATAGACCGTTCCTTATATATTATATTTACAAAATTTACAGAATCGAGTGCTACGACAGCGTTCATGTCTGCAGAACAAAAATCGAGGAATGGATTTAAAATTATGACAACAATAGACTATGGATTTGAGTGAGCAGTAGACTCCCTGCTGGCAAAATATATTAAATCTTTATTTTAATTGACATCATTTAACATGAAAAGCAGGTATCTTATATGTTTTTCCGGATGGGTACATAGATTAGTAATGTACAAGAGATTCATAATATTGAAGACATGAGATTTAATTGCAAAATTTGTATTTAACATGAAAATACAAAATTGGAAATGTGCAGATTAAAAAAGCGCACAACGGTCAATAGAAAAATGTAATAAAATCAGTCTTTCTATAGATGTGTTTCGGCATTCAGGCGAGATTCCTGGGCAATGATTAAAGACTCTAATCGAATTAACAACCTGGCCACATTAAATATTAAAAAATAGTGTTCTTCGTATACGTTAACTTAGAATTAGTTTGAAAGACTTCTTTCATGCGGACATATGATTTTGCGACCGCAAAGGAGATAATTGTGCAATTACGTCATTTTTAAGCCTTTAATTAACAATTGAATTTTGTAAAGGTAAAAACTGTGTTAAAAATACCTATTTTGTATTTAAAATGCTTCTTGCATTTCAAACACTAAACTATTTGTATTTCAAAAAATAAATAGCATTTGCAAAACTTACAATTTGTACTTAAATGCTTATCGTAAACAATTTTGTATACAACGTTGCTAATAATAAATTTTGGGTTAACGACGGCTCAACTTATGATTATGATTAAGAAGAGCTTGAAACTAAATTAATAAAAAGTAGCGATGAAAAATAAAAGGAACAGCTACGAATACGTGTTTAGGACGTGTTAATTGGAAGCGACCGTATTATCCGTTATACGTTTCCTAAAACATCGCGGTCTTGTCAACAAATGCACCCGATGTATGTCACCCAAACATCGAGCGGCCCTATAAAACGTGGCGATCCCTCATACAGAAATTAATTTGGAATTGGACACTGACTCAGGGCTACTTTAACTTTAAAAGCAGAAATGGAGTTCAGTTTTAAGTGTTTCAGTTTTGTAATACTTGTGTTTCTTTTTATACTGGCTCAATTTGAAGCTAAGCCTACAGACAATTCTGCTTTATCATCAAATGCAGGTGACGAAATAATGGAGACGGCAGAGGGTCAAAATCCTTTTCTGCCACGGTTCGCTATGAAACGGTTAAAGGAAAGAAGACTGCGTGCTCAAGCCCAGCGGAGGAACAATCCGAGGAGAGTACCACCCCAAGAGACGTCCAATTGCAGGAATAATTCTGTTCGTCGTTGGTAAACATGTACGTATCGTGTGAATACTTAGGACAGGATATCAGGTTTTAGCTATTGCCCCTTTTTTGCTATTTGACAAATATATTACTTTACCATGAAAGGGTTTTAAAATGTTGCATTATGGCAAAACTAATACCGTTGACACGTAGAGTATTATTATTGTTCTGTGGCTCTGATTACGCCAAAATTTACTTACTAGTAATTCTTAAAATGGTCAAAACTGGGTCATTTGCCCTTCTGAATGATTGAATTGTGAATTTTCGATGGGAATAGGTATTTTTGCACATAAGGATAATGTTTACACGTGATATCTCAGAGGAAGTATTTTATAAAATTCGTAGAATCCTAACGCATGAATATGTAAAATATGTCCTTAAAGATAAATGCTTAAGAACTCCACTTGGTCCCTGGCACCCTGAGATGGGACTCGAAATCTCGAAAAAAATAACGTGCAGGAGTTTTCAAAATTCAAAATATGTAATTTTTTTTATCTTGATCAAAATGCACATCAGACTATAAAATTCTGTCATATTTCCCCACTTTATTATTGAGAGCAGTTTAAATTAACCGGAGACATTTGTCAAATTGTGGGATCCTGACGTGCAGCCGTGTTTATAAGTAATAATTGATAACTCAGTACATTAAAGTAGTGTTGAGCGAAAATATTTATCTGATTTCAAAAATAATGAGGTTCTATATGCGACAGATGTTTTTATCGACTTCACCACAAAGTGAACTAGACCGATTTTCTAGTTTATCTTATTTGTTACAAAGGTTTAGGTTGCATACTCAAGAGGTGGCCCCATAAAAAAAATATTAAATTAGTACTGGATATTAATTGGAAGATTTCTTCCAAATAAGGATCATCGCTATTTCCTTTTCTATGATTATAGAGGTATTATTAAAATAAATATTTTGAAAAGAAAACTATCTATACTAATAAGAGGAAAGATTTGATTGTTTGTTCGTTTGCAACGAATAGACTCCAAAACTACGGGACCGATTTAAAGTTTGAAGTCGAATCGTTTAGGTTTTTTGGAGGATATTTACATAGTTGGTTTTAAAACTGAGATAATAGCGAAAGAACAATAGACTTGTGATTATATTAAAATTTTTGGGAAGCTAAAAATAAATGTAAACTTATAGTCAATTTCTCCCCCAGAGGATATCAGAAACACTCGCTCATTAAGTTCGTTTGGCAAGCGAGTTTCGAACACGTTTTGTTCCTAACGCTAATGCTCTCGTTTTTTAAGATGTATCTGTCTATCCTTCTGATCATTGCCATAATATAATTAATACCTACCCTCTGTTTTCTTTACACTTTTTTAATATCTTGCTTATGTTGCCTGAAAGGGAATGCTTTTTATAAAGTTAAGGCCGCCTATCGTGAATGTAATCTGTATATCCTATAGTTTTTTAGTAAATTATGATATTTATAAGTTTCCAGCTTATTATCTCTCATTCAAGACCTATTCTATTTCTCCGAAATCTTTACCGCAGATATTGAATTCCAATACTTTTAAAGGTTATTTATTGATTATTGATTGTAGGTCATTGACCACACGCATTCTTTAAGATTGACTTTACTGTAGCATTAAGTAATTAGCGCTTTAGTGTTACAGCTTTCCTCGACCCAGATAGCATACAATAAAAAGGCCTTGACATAAAACCGTCCAACACAGTTGATATCAGAACCAACTAACAAACTGACATCTTACAGGAACAAGAAAATGGAACGTCTAGTGGTACTCTTACTAATATTGGGGTTCGTCACCGCCTCTCCAGTTTCAAAACAAAAGATTTCAGCTAATAACAACAATTATGATCTTCAAACAGAAGACAGTGAGTCAGAAATAAAATACGACACAAACTTTAACAAAGGCGAAACGGAACAAAAGAAACAAGAACTCACTACAAACATTGGGCCTTCAATCAACGGTGAAATGGAACAAAACTTGGAGGTAATTATTGAAGAAACTGTTGATGTACCACGAGAACTGTTGTCACCGATATCAGAAGCTGAAGATACAGTTTTAGATGATAACACTGTAAGCGTACCAGATGACGTATATCCCAATGAAATTATAGAGAGGCACCCCGAAGAAATTATGGAAACAGCGGCTGGTTTCATACCAGTGCCTATCATTAAGAGGAGACAAAAACCAAAAAGACGAATTGCATCACGGCGACACTTCAAAAGAAATCCATATAGACGCGTATTTTATTATTATCCATATTACCCTTACTATTATCAAAGCTCTCTTTATTATTAATTCATTTATTATCTCTGGTAAACGTAAAATAATAGCTAATTTATTCTATCAAATAAGGTTAATAAAAATTATAAAACACATGATTTTAAAATATTTATTTCTAAAAAACCTTTTCTCACCTATAAGCATAAATCCTTAACCGATTTGAATAAAATTATTTTTTTGTAATATATTACTAATTCATTATATTTACAATTGTTTCGTTAACTATTGTTATAATACATAACTTATTAGGACAAAATGTTGTACACTAAATTGTATTCATGGCAGTTGTGTTCAGAAGTGGTTCTTTATTATTTTAATTACATCTATAATGAGCGTAGGTCGTGTAATATAATTCATTCTCGAACATAAATGACACGACAATTAAAATTATATATATAACACGTTTACATACTAACACATATATACATGAGTTAATCACAAAATATGTCTCGATACGATAAATGATGCCTTCAAAACATCATTCATATTTAAATAATATCACCTTAACTAGAATGGAACTTTGCCTGGACAAATAAATAACACAAAGTAAATCTTATTACGTAATTTTACACTCTAATACAAGTATCGTGACACTCGTAATACTGGAACTCGAAGTCGCTCCTCGTAATCAATAAGGCCAGGTCGCTTGTACTCATTTTATAGAATGTACTCACTAAGTTATCAAGTATAATTAACGTCGAAATAAACATTTTAAGCTCTGCTATATTGGTCGTACAAATCGAGGCATTGTCTATATATTTTTTTTCAAATAAAGGCTTTAATTGTAAATGATAACTCAATAGTTACAATCTATAAGACAGCGGATGGGCATGATCGAGACTCATTTGCCGGGCCCGACGAGCGCCTCGTCCATGAGTTCGTCGTCAGTGATGCCGGGAGAGTTGGAGTGGGGCGAAGGTACCACTAGTGGTGACGGCGCCGGGCTCTTTGCTAGCTGCAATGCTAGCGCTGGCGACTGCGGGTATACGGGCCGTACCGCAACTACTCCCGATACCTTACTGCCTGAAGACGACGAAAAGTCTAATAACATTTCCGCCGCTTCTTGGGGAGTAGTCGCTCCACTCCGCGGCACAGACCCGCTCGCCGGCGGCTTCATCCCAGAATCCGCGCCCTTCCTATCTTCTGAGCTGCCCTTCGGAGCCGGGAACCCTTTCGCCATGTCGGTTTTAAAATCCAACGGCATCATCGGATAAGACCCCGGGTAGTCTTTAGAATCTTCCTTCCGCTGCGGACTTTCGCCTTTCGTCAGACTCTCCGCCATCGCTTTGGCGAATTCGATAGGTCTTTCTGATGGATCCACTTTGGCTGTTGGGACCAACTTTGGACTCGAACCTCCCATGTTTAGTAGAGGCTTAGGAACGTTCAGAGGATATGCAGATTTTGTTATATCCGATGACCTAGAATTGGGGTTGTCGAAATGGCCGAAAGGATATTTGTTCTGTTCTAACCCTCTCGAGAAATCGTTAACCATAGATCGACCGTCATATTGGGACATCGGACTGTTTTTGTCTGGAGTGCCTTGATTTTTTAATTTCGGTATCTGAAATCCCCTGTCGAGCGGTTTGATCAAGCCCTCTACTAAGAAGTTGGCTTCCTTAGATTTATATTTATCCCCATCCACGTCGTCTTTTGACCCGCTGGGGCTAGAGTGCCTTTCGGATTTAGACGAAAATATTGACTTTTCAGAATTGCTCATTAATTTCGTTCTAGCTTTTTCTCGTTCTCTGTCTCTTATTATTTTGGCTAAATCAGTACTGCTACTTTTTGGAGATCCTGAGCTTGATTTAGAGGCAGATTTGGATAAATTTATTCCCGCATTGCTAGTGCTGGACGATTTCGAGTAAGGCACTTTAGGCATGTTGCCACTGCTAGAAGACGAATCTGAGGGACTCATGTTTGCTTTAGGCGGCGTGGAGCTTGACGTTATGTTGCTTGACTTCGAGGACTGTAAAGCCTGTGTTTTTTTTGAAGCTGGGCCACTTATCACACCGGGCTTTAGTCCTGTGTGGGTTTTAGGCGAGCCCTGGCTCGGTGGGGTTAATTGAGGTGACGATTGCTTGCTGGTATTAGAACTACTATAATTTAATTTGGAACTGCTACTAGACTCTTTTGACCTCGTTTTATTAATAGTAATCTTCATACCGTCCAAACTCGGCTTCACCATATATTCTTGATTTTTACTTTCACTGGTTTTAGTACTTCCAGATATACTGTTTTTTGGATCTGAAAACTTATTGGCACTGTTTGATGAACTATTCGATTTTGTTCCGCCGAGTTCAGTATCTGTCCCGCAATGTTGAGCAGATTTTAATTTATCTATCACAGCACTGAGTGAACCTTTTCTATTTCTAGCCTGACTTGGGGCATTGGACTTGTTTACTTCGATGTTGGGCGGAGAAATCAATGGTTCGGTGACAGGACTGTCACAAGAAACCGGAGTTATTTCTAGTTGTTTTAACTTTACAGGGTTTTTTAATTTAGGACTACTCCTATCAGAACTAGAAAAAGACAAACTGGAATGTTTCTTTTCCTTGTCTCTTGAGGATAAAGAACTAGATCCATAACTTTCCTTAGAGAGCTTTTTTGAAAGATCGTATCCTGTAGTTCCCGATTTACCAGATGGGGAGCCACTAGTAGCTGACTTTAAAGCAGACATACTGGGTTTTCCAGACCCCGAAGAACTATGCTTAGGGGAAGAGATGCTGTGGTTTTTTGGACTCGAATAACCTGGTAAATGTTTTGGACTATTTTGAACTGGCGAGTGTCGTGGGCTGCTGTGGTGACTAGAGGTACCGGAGGGCTTTCCCATACTTTTAACGCTGCTTGGGCTTGGCGACTTAGTTATCGATACTGATCTACCATGAGTCGGACTCGGACTAAATTTTCTTAAGAGAGAGTTTGGGGATGTCGGTCGCATCGGAGACCCATCCGTGGGTTTGATGCTTACTGACACAGGTTTTGTTAACGGGTCTTGTTTCGGTGGTACTTTTTCAGGGGGTCCCATTGAATCATCTCTTCGCCTCTTCTTTTTCTTTTCTTTGCTTCTTTCTTCGCCAGATTTACTAGATTTTCTCTCAGATCTATTTCGGTCATCGAGCGTTTTGAGTTGACTTGATGTAATTGGAGTGATTGTTATTGAACTCGGCAGAGCCGCTGGGGCCGCTGCAGTGATAGGTATTATTTCAATACCTGGACGACGATCTAGACACAACATTGATGATATACTAGAACCGGATTCAGATCTCGATGTGGTCGAACCTGTGGTCCCAATGGGGGTGATGCTTACAGATGACGGCATGTAAGATTTACCTTCCGTTAAGTCCATGAGAAGAGACGACGTACTTCTACCACTGCGTGATTCTGTATCTTTACTTTTAAGCTTTTGCCTTTTGTGATCAGACTTGTGAAAAGAATTCCTGCGACAAATAGAAAAAATGAGTATTTCATAAAGATTTATATTAAAAAAAAACATGTACGAGTCGGACGCGCTTTGGAGGAAATTTGTAGATTACAAATAGTTATAATGGTAAATAAAATATGTTATGAAATATGCACATTTGTCGTTTTATGTCATTTAATTGAAGTAATAGCTTGTATTTTAAACGTCGTCTTATAAGATTATATTTTTTATGATTTCATCATAAATGTGTGTCTAGTTTCCATATTTGTTTTAAAACTCGTATTGTAGAATGATTGCCATTTTTTACAGTACTAGGTCAACGGGAATTACCCTATCAACTTCGATTACCTTGAATGTCGAAATTTTGCGGCTGATCTTAAATACATTAATTTAGAAGTTTCGTTCTATTTCCATGCGTTCCCAAAACTTAGCGGACAGACGGCAACAGTCGTTTTATAAGGGTTTTAATAAGTATATAACAAATTCAAAATTTACCTTATCATATCTTCCACTTCTCCATCGTTAGAGTTGTCCAAATCTGACGACGTTCTATTGTCTTGGCTCCCTATCGCGTCAGTTGCATCCATTCCAGACATTTCAACATCCGATGCAAACTCGTTTTGTGAAACTGAAGACTCTCGCCCTTCGATGTCATCGTTAGTGGAATTACTATTCATTGTATTCTCATCTTCATTAACGTAACCGTCGGAGTTGTCACTGTCGCTTTCAGAGTCGGGCATTTCACTGAGGCCCGGTTTGCCTTTCTTTTGGGACGACGACCAAATGTCACTGTCGGATTTTCTCTTTTTTGACTTTCGCTCTTCGACATTTTGGAGATTTTTGTCGCCAGCGCTGGGATCTTGGCACATCATTGAGAGATGGTGTTGTTGTTCAGATAGATAAGCTCCTGTAATAAACATGTCAATTTAAACCTTGTATGGAAGGGATTGAATCTGAATACGCAGACAATAAAAATCAACGCTTGCAGTATTTATTTATATATATCGGATATATATCAGAATGAAAATATAGACATCGGAACGTATTTAATTGCGCTTAGTTCTTTCTGAACAGTCTTAGGATTGGTGTATGTCCGATAGAAGATGCCTCAATTACCGAGCCTACAATTAAAATTTATAATGGACCTTGTTGCAATAGCCATAAGGGGTAAAAATATTACGCATTAAGTATCTCACTCGGCACACGGATCACTGAATGAAGCGCTACTTGAATTATATCAATTGCTAGAATTTGCCGCGCTTTGAAGTTTTGCCTTCTGCGTTGGTGGCCCGATGAGCAACATTAGTTGTATGTTCTAAAAAAACGGCCAAGTCGGACTCACGCACCGTACAAACCTGTAGGTATATAAGTAACTAGCTTTCCGCCAGCGGTTTTGCCCGCGAGGTCCTTAGGGAACTGTTTATTCGGATATCGATTCATATCATGACACGGATATAATTACAATGACATATTAAATAGTAAATAGTAATTGCCATGTTAACGTTTCAATTCCTTATAAAAAAAAACCACTCCCATTTTCATCCCTTTATTTACTGTTGTCGGGATAAAATATAGCCTATATTCACCCCATACGATGTAGCATCCCATAGGTTTTATAAAATAGGTCTAGCAATTTCGGAGCCTATTCGTTGCAAACAAACAAATAATCGAATCTTCCCTTTTTGTATTATTAGTATAGAAATGTAATGGAACTAAAAGTTGAAGGTTTTCGGATTTTTTTCCAAGATTCTAGGTCGACTACCTGTCAGGTTTCGAAGTACCTGTCAGGTTTTGATTCCCTTGCGAGTAGTTTCCAGTTTGAAAACATGCGGTTTAAATTGCTGTGCCTTTTGAGTGCGTTGACATAATAGTTTGATTTTCTTATAGCTTAAAAATATTTTAGACCTGAGTATTTGATACGAATTTCAATTTAATAACTCTACGCGTTCATGAAGAAAGGGATAGTAACTTTAATAAAAATATCTAAATATACTCAAAGGTGACTGACTGACTGACATAGTGATCTATCAACGCACAGCCCAAACCATTGGACGGATCGGGCTGAAATTTGCATGTAGGTAGATGTTATGACGTTAGCATCCCCTAAGAAAGGATTTTGATATTCTACCGTCAAGGGGATAAAAATAGGGGATGAAAGTTTATATGAAACTTTGTCAATTTTAAACCGATGCTAAAAAAAACAGAACCGGGCTAAGACTTTGCATGCATAAAGCTACTATGACTTAGGCATGGTCACGGGATGGGTGACCATAAAATTATTATCTCGAGCTACTCTGTGCTTCGGAAGGCACGTTAAGCCGTTGGTCCCGGCTGCATTTGCAGTCGTTAATCCAATCCGCATTGGGCCAGCGTGGAGGGTCATGGCCCATCCTCCTTAACCATCCATAAGGAAGGCCTGAGCCTCTGCAGTGGGGACGTAAAAGGGCTGGTGATGATGGTGAAGGGGATAAATAGGGGATTAAACTGTATTTCAGGTATTTTACACGATATAATGAATAAATATTCGTTAGAAATACAGCTTAAAGTAACTTTACCACGCAGACGAAGTCGCGGGCAAAAGCTAGTTTTTATTATATGATGTAACTAAAAATATACGCTTTATGCAATTTTTCCTTTATGTGTCATAAGACGTTGCTTCGTGCCAAAGTTCAAGATAATGAGTTCACGGGACTCTGAAGGTTTTGATTCCTCGCGAGTTGCGAAAATTTTCGACATCAACGGCTCTATCTTTTGGTTGCGTTGGCTTAGAAGTATGATTTCTCCACAGCTCCAAGGGACATTAGATCTGAGTATTCTACTAATATTATAAATGCGAAAGTTACTATATTTGGATGTTTGTCCGTCAATCACGCCGAAACTACTGAACGGACTTTGATGAAATTTGGTATACAGATAGGGTATTAGTTGACTTAGATAATAGGATACTTTTTATCCCACTAAACATTACCCTAGGGACCACGCGGCGAAGCCGCTGGCGAAAGCTATTTTGATATAAATTTCAGCTCGATACCTCCACGCATCGAGAGAAAAAGGGTCTTGACGGATAGACGGATGGAAAACAAAGTGATAATATAGGGGTTCCGTTTTTTCCTTTCGATTAACGGAAACATAAAAATGAATTTTTACACAGGTTTTTTGTTTTTGCTGTAAGTTATATACTAACCGCCTTGATGCGGATGGTTAACGTTGGAGGGGTAGAGAGCTCGGCCGTGCATTGTCCCGGGTTCGTGCTTGATGTGGTCACCCCCGGGGTCGATGCCCCCCAGGCCGCAGCTAAAATTTGAATCCAGCGCCGAGTAACCTCCGTTCATCTGTTTTGTTGCGGCTTCGCGTTCCCAAATCTTCACCAGTGATCTGTATAATAAATATATCATCATCATCAGCCCTTTTACGTTCCCATTGCAGGGGCTCAGGCCTTCCTTATGGGTGGTTAAGGAGGATGGGCCATGACCCTCCACGCTGGTCCAATGCGGATTGGAGGGTATTAACGACTGCAAATGCAGCCGGGACCAACGGCTTAACGTGCCTTCCGAAGCACGGAGTAGCTCGAGATAATAATTTTGTGGTCACCCATCCCGTGACCGACCCTTGCGAAAGTTGATTAACGACAACGATCGCGGGCCGCGGCGCTTATCCACTATGCCACCGAGTTATTCTTATATAAATATATCACATTAAAGAATTATTACGATGAGCGGACGAGCGCAATCATAATTCCAGGACTGAGTAATTCTTTAACTAACCTCCATACGTGATGTAATCAAATATAATCCTATTAATATTATAAATGTGAAAGTTTCTTTGTGGTTGTGGTCAGAGTAAAATATCCACAGGGTTCCTAATTATCGAGATACGAGTAGTTATTTTTCATTATCCGTAATAACTAGCAACATATTTTTAAACACAGAAAGGCATTCATAATTAAAGTAAATTAATTTTAATCGTTTTAAACAATAAGAATTATACAGCAAGCAATTAAAACCACTCTCCAAATTTGAGTATGTTAATCTTTACGACAAATAATGAAATACGTGTTTTTTATGTCGTTTAGAACAAAAATGTTGAGTTATATCGTCACCAAGTTATTTTCAAAAAACCTACATTTGTGGACGCTCTCGCTGCCCAGTACATGCGCTTTACGCGCTACGTTACACTTACCCCTCCCTCCCTTGCCGCAATTCATTGATAGTAATAATAGCAGTTACCTAAAATGTTTTCGTTTTGTCATGCTTGGGGAAATGATAAATAAAGTTGAAACCTCTTCATAGTTTTACGGGCTTAGGACCGTCAAATTGCATAAATCCTATTAGATACCTACTATTACAATAGCTATACTGCTTTAAATTTATAAAGTAAGTAGGTAAGTAAATATCGAGTTACCTAAAATTCTGTTTAGTTAAACCAATTCAAAGTAGGTACTTAACTCGCTATTCTTTTGCAAACAGGCGTATTTAAAAAATCATCAACTTTATGGTACATAATCAACTAATCAATTTACCTACCTACTTTAACTACGTATACTTTAATATTTGTTCAAAGTACATACCGTTCCTCTCCAAACAGTGTCTTGCACCTTTTCTGCACATTGTCTTTTAATTTTGCGAGCACTACCGTGTCATTTTTCACTTGGTAAAATGCCGCTCTGATTTGCACTTTTAAGTCCTCGAGGCTTTGTGCTTCCTCAACATACACATATCTTTTAATTTCGCCCCACAAATAAAAGTCACACTGTGGTAGGTCCGGCGATCGCGCAGGCCCCACGATGGGGCCTCCGCATCACGTTGATCACCATGTATGTAACACTGCACCATTTCATAATATTCGCGATTGGAATACATTACGACGCGCGAAATGTGGCGCTGCGACGGGCGGTGCGCAACACGGAAGTAAAGGCGGAAGCGCACGCATTCAAAGGGGTTGTGCGCGAGCGACTGACTGATGTGCGCCGACAAAATAAAAAACCGAGCAGACATTGTTGTTGGCGCATGCGCGTACATCCCCTGCGCCCGCGCCCTTGCTACCCCTGCTGCCTTGTTTTATTCATAACTAATGTGACAATGCGAATGTTATAATTATCTTGTAATTGCAACAAGTTTACATTTCATTTTGAAAATTTTACATACCGTTTTTTTTTCATATATGTGATCTATTAACGATACCTAATGCCTAGAAAAAATTTGGAGAGTCATTTTAAATGCAGGCGGTATAAACAAATATTTACTGTGACAACAATAAGGGAAATTAAAACATTTTTTAAATAAAAAGAAGTTGATTTTTTTTTTTGTTTTTGTAGTCCATCCTAGATAATTTTTTTTTATCAGAAAAACCACATTTGATAGTTCTTTAAAGATGACAAACAAGTCTTAAAGTACAAAAATAGTTTGTATTGTATTTTATAATTATTAACATAATTATCAAGCTATATTTATCAAGATAATTATCACTACGAACCTTGAATATTTTCATAGCAAAATTCGTGTTATGGCTCTTATGGGAACGCTCACGACGCGTTGTAGCATTTACAGAATAACCATAAGCGAAATCCATATCTTGTCATGCTATTCGACCACAACGCGTTGTGGCAATAAAAAAAAGCCTTGAAACGCAATGAACCATATTTGATTAGGTTAGGTTAGAGTATAACAAAAAACGCCGCAGCCTAAGTGCCAGAAGCGAATCGCTATTGTAAAATGAAATAGCTAGTTAAATCAATTAATGCCCGGAAGTCATGAGGTCGAATAACATGTCACCTACAACACGGATTTAGCTATGTGGTTATTCTGCTATTGCCACAACACGTTGTAAACTATTTTTTCGCTCAATGAGCGATTTCAATGTTTGACCGTCACATGTACAAAATATAAAAAATGAATGCCGGCTAGACAATATTTACCTTAAAGTGATCGGTATGGAGTGACTCTTCTGTAGTACCCGGCTGATATAGTCATCGATCTGTTCTCTAGGCGGCGAGTTGAGCGAGTATACTGATGCCCGCGGCGCTGCTGGATCTGACAACTCTAGTTCTACCGTCGCCATACTCTCATCTAACGGATGCTCCAGTGATATGGAAATGTGCTGCCACGATAGAGCACTCACTTCGAACATCAGCACGCTTTCTAAGTCTACGACTGAAATTATTTATTGTAAATTTTACATTTAACATACTAATCTAAGTAACGGATTTTTATTTATTTAGTTTTATACACAAGACACAGGTTGCAGCTTTAAATTTGGTCTTTTAGTTATTGAATAATCAGCAACATTATGCTCTGCTTTCTAAAACATTGTAAATAAGTTTCTGTAGCCAGATGGCAGCGCTATGAATGGATTATCCAAACTGACAAATGTTTTCAATTGAATATAAACTTTGATGTTAAATTGGGCGTAGAAATATAAGTTTTTGTTTTGTTTGTTTTAGTATATTTAATTTTAAACAGTTATAATTAGAATGTGTTGTTGGAAATGCAAATAAAGTTTATTATTATTATTATTAATAAATTCATATTTCTTGAGCTTTTGTTATAGTTTTTTAAGATGTAGAAAACGTCAATATGTCTATTTAATTTTAAGTTTATAAAATACAAGTATTCACAAATAGATTTTTATACAGTAAAAATTAATATCGTCAGATTAAGATCATTTCCTTTATAAGCTATAATCGATTACTACTAATCGATAGTAATATTGTAAAGAAAAATTTTATGATTGTTTATTTGTTTGCATTGATTAGGCTCTGAAACTTACTGGACCGATTTTAGAAATTCTTTTACTTATGGGACGCTTCATCATACACAAGTGACATAGGCTATAATTTATGCGGGCGAGGTCGCGGGAAAACAGCTAGTAAGATATTAAAGACATACCTTGCTTGGTCTGCAGTCGCACACAGCTAGCAATCAGCGCGTTGAATAAAGCTTGTTGTCTCAAACATGCCAGTAACGGGGGCACATGCGATGGATGCGTGAAGGGTACACTAGTCACTATACAACCCTCGAGTCCTCGCGTCTCACACAAAAAGTAACATTGAGTTTGCTCGGGCAGATTCTAAAAAGATTATTTAATGAAGTTAGAATTATTTATAAGATAGTTATTTTATAATCACTCATAAAATCAAGCGATCATTGCAATTGGATTCAAAACTATACTGTCTCATCGAACAATAGGATCCTGGACTATAGTAATAAAAAGGATTCGGAAAAATAATACAAATAATTTATTTCAGATTTCTGCATCCATATGGTGTAATATATTTTTAACAGACTACAAAATAGAAAAGAAGGCACTATATTCGACGGGTATGTATTGTTTTATGTTATGTTACACTTTTTTACAAATTGCAGACCAATTTTTTATATTTTAGAGAAATTAGATTAGTAGTTTTGTTTTTATAACAAAATAACTGGAAGCATGAACATGAATCTAAGTACATAAAATTGGAGCCTCCTAATCTAACTTTAAGGATTTTTTTAAATCTAACCTAACTGGAGGCAAAGTTTAAAAGATAGCGTATTTTCCATGGACATCAAAAATATATTCAATAATAAACCTTATTATTATAAGGAACATTCGAAGCCAATTTGTTACTATGGGCTTGGATTGGTCCTTTATCCGAGAAAGTATAGAATTTAAATATTTTGCAAAAGTATGTACATATGTACTGAAATAACTTATTTGTATAACATTACAGGAAAGTCTTTTATCTAGGACTTTTCAAATTGATTATTTATAGAGAACCTATGTGTAAGTCCGATTTATTATTTTGTTCAGATAACTTCATTAATTTCATGATGAAACCAGGCATATTAACACTCTCTCAAGTACATTTATTATTGGTTAATATAAATTTCATTTCCTAGGCGACTAATATTGAATTTAAACAATTGAAATCATCTTATCACGCTTGGTGACTCGCGTATAGCACGCGAAATAAATATTTTATGCATGTGGTGACCGCATGACAGCATGATTCAAATTGAAAGTGTTCATACGATATTTCGTTGTCACTATCTATTAATTTCGGGTTCGTTTTATTTTTTATAGCAACTTTTTATATAATTTCATATCAGTAATGTTATTAAGTACTAACACTTGTTTTAAATAATATTTATTTTGTTAAATATCAATTAATGTAATAATCAAAACGACAAAAAACAATGTTTAACACTTAATTTGTATAAAATTCATCTGTCTTAATTTTTGATAATATAACCATCATTCTATATATTATTCAAATAATATGTTTGTTTTTTCATAAAATTCAATTATTGTAAGTTACAATTAATTTATCAAATGATTGATATAATATTCACTTAATATTTATTGTAAATTGATATAATCCTTATTTTATATAATTTTTTTATAATGACTAAAATATTCCACTATAACATAACAATATAATTTTCCACAAATATTTGCAACAAAACTGATTATCCTAATTTAAACTTCACATTTGTTGTTGTTCGGCTAGGTTAGAACTGTGACCAAAACAAAAAGCAAGCGAGCTAACGACATTTGCGAGTTATTCAATAACCCACCCTCTACTGAACATTGTTTAGGAGGAAAAGAAGTTCAACAATTTGGGTTACATTTTTTATTACAAATTATTTCATATGGTCGTTATTGTAAATAATCTTATGAGATTTTTATATGAAGTGACTACTATGAGAATTGATATCATTAATGTGTAACTTAATTTTTATACTAAATGTTTTTATTTAATGTGGGTTTAGATTAAGTGAGTGTTAGTTATATCCTTAAAAGATTATACCACATAAGTTTCATGTAAAATAATACTTGTATTAAAGAAAATTATATTAATCCAACAGTATTTCTTTCAAAATTATATGTTTTAAAATTTTATTTATTATATGAGTTTCTTTTAGGCGCAAAGAAAAGGTAATCAGTATTGTTTTACTCAACAAACTATTTAATTGCAGTAAAAAATTATATAATGTTAGTAAATAAGTTCTCACCACAAAAAGTCCCTTGCTGAGATTCAATTCAATGGTTTTTCCAGGTGCTAATTTATTGTAAGCCTGTTGAGCTACAAGCCCTAACATTGGTTTTGCATTCGCCCAATCTCCAGCTATTTCAACCTGCAGAACATAGAATTTTAAATATCGAAAATCAATATACTGATATTAAGTCTACATGTTCATACGACATCTTATTGTTATTGCAAATATACACGACGCATCGTTTTGTAAAGCCTCAATATTGACATTACATTAATAACGAAACCACCTTTTATAACTTTATAGTTCTATAATGCGAAAAAAATAAACACAAGTAATAGATTACCTCAGTTGTAGCATTTATAAGCTTGGAGAGTCCAGCACAAAGTGGAGTGGGTTGAGAAAGCTTGAGTGTGAAACATGCTGGCAACATGGCGCTATTTTGAGGCACTAGGGGAGCATATACTGGCCCGTTCCTAAGACAGGAAAATAACAAACATAAACAATGTCCGTCCTACGAGAGAATGAGGATTAAGTATAGTAGTAAGTTTTTGAGGAATTGAGACATGATGACTTATTTATGTTGAATAATAGTGTAAACTACTAAAGTTACAACTCGTTTAAAATGGCGTGAGTATTGATTGTATATAAGGGAATTTGTGAAAGTAGAGTGAAAATTTATGGACAGGAGAAATAGTAAAAAAGTCTATGAATGAAAAAAATATTAAATCTTTTTTCATAAATGATTTTATCAAATGTCTCGTATTATATTCCGAATCGACTGAACTGCAAAAAATAAATTTCACATGTATTTGTAATTTTGTTTAACCTAAAAATAGGATAGTTTTTATCTCAATTATAATAAAAATAATGTGGAAGAAATTATTTAATTAATGAGCCATAGTAACATGCTGTCTGGTCAGCTGGTTTAGTATGTAGTTAAAAATACAATAAACTTACGTTTTCCCAGGTCTTTGTCCTCCAGATATTATAGGTGACAGCTGTAATTTATTAGCTGTTGATCCCTCCAGCAATACAGTAGCTGAATGTCCAATTGGTGTATGAGATGGAGCTACAAGAGATGCCAGCCCGCTTGAACTGGATGGCTTACCAGTTGTCAACAGATCTGCTGTCAATGGTTGAAGACCTTTGTCCTTGTCTAGCAACTCATAAGGTGATACAAAATACGTAAGACGCATTGCATGACCTGTAAAACATTTGAATGTCAATGAGAAAGCTACAATGTCTGAATAACTTTAATTATATAATAGTTCTGAAAAAAAAATTGTATTAAAATCAAGTGGCAACCAATTAGAGAGAGAGTACCTCCACGTCGTTTTTGGAGGAATCCTATTGGGCTTTTATGTACTTGAGCCCAAGGGTCTTTTATGAAGCTCTGCAGCTGCCGCAAGGTACAAAGATCTTCTTCCAAGCTTTGAAGTGCACTAAAAGCTTTACACTTCACCTATAAAATAAAAAAAATATATATTTGAGTTTAACAATAAATAATGCATTATAGTTAAACTCCAATAAAATGTTATTTGTTATATTAGCTACAGTCATTATTAACATGTTATGTTGGCTATAATCATTATATTAAATTCAAAATAAAAAATTCGGAGCTCCTTTCAAAAAAATATACGGATCAGATGAATTTTGTCAGTTACTTCATAAATGGAACAATATTCCTTAAAGAAAAGGGTAATTTAAATGAAATTAATTGGTTGCAATTTATTTCTGTAAATACATACTTTTTTCTCAGCATTTAATTGATATACAGCAGTAAGGCCTTCGAGTTGGGCAGTAAAATCTGCAAAATCGCCGTGGGAGATACATGACACCAACTCTTCACAGCTTTGTTGCTCAATCTACAAATTAATTACATTTAATAAAATGAAATTGAATAAACACAAGAAAGAAGCTTGTATAAACACTGTTCTTCATTTTTACCTTTCCTTCATGATGGATTTTGACATCTTTAATTGAGCCAGAAGATTCTACCAATATTTCCAAATAGAACATGTCTGAAGATATAAACAGATTCACTCCTGATGTCCCAACTACAAACTTTAAGCTAAAAATGTAACAGTAAATTCATATCAGTTTTTATAACCAAGAAATGGGGATTTATATTTTTACCGTTTTTAAAAAGTGACCGGTTAAACAAATTGTCTAAACGACACTAAAAACAATTGAAATATGAATTTTATTATATGACAAATCCGGTCAGACTTATTAAAGGTGCTATAACAGTTGCAGTATCACATGACTTTAAACTTGTAAATGTGACTTTTTTTAATCAATTAATTAATTTTAGCTGTTGATTTTACTAACAGGCTAATACTTGTAAAAAAATAAATGGCATACCTGTAGAACAGCTAGGTTCAAAATTAAAATATTTCAAGCATCTACCTATTTAAAAATAAAATATTTTGATCTTACACTTTGGTGCAATTATGTACCCTACCCTTTTATAGTTCGACTTACAATAGGTGTAATAATAAAATTAATGTAATGTCAACAAATATACAAACCCTAATTGCCGTGATAGACATTCAAGTCTTTCAATTAAACTTTGTAGTGAAGTAATCTTAATGCAGTGCTGCAAACTATCAAGGCATTTTTGCAGGATCATTCGATCAGCACTATCCACTGCCCATCTTTTATCCTAAAAAAATACCACTTTATTAGTACATATGTAAAATAAAATTAACTTTAGGGAATAATAAAGTTGATGAAATTTACCAGTAAGGCCATGCGTACAGCTTTGGACGTATCAGTCAAATTTTTGTACTGTGATGTTTTAGACCTTAACTTTTCCATGAGTATCTCTTTTTGTAGCTCCTTAGATTTGTCTATCAAACCATTGGCGGGTGCCATGGTCAACGCTTTGCTGTCCATCATGTTTACAAAAGAAAACAATTTTTATTTCACTGATACAAAAACATAAATAGTGATAGATAACACTTTAACAGGCACTTTGCAATCTAAAGAACATCTGATAACTTTTTGTTCACTTTTAATTATTTGTAATCCATAGTGAAAAAAACATTTTTGCACGAAACCTTTTTTAGCAATAAAAATCAAATAAATTAAACAACAAATTAAAACGATAATCTATTTTATCAGTTCATTTCCTTCATTCTAAAACTGTCATTTCTTCGCAGACGGCGATGCCATTTGCTATATGACGACTAATTTCAATAGGTTCAAAATATGGCTTGTGTGGCGCTAGTCGTCATGTAAATGTCTTGTTAAAGAAAAGAAAGTAATTGACTGCCGCCTTTTGAATTTAGTCATATTATACGTTAAATGCCAACAGTCATATTCCTTACGTTCAGAAATTACCTATTAAATTAGTGTCAGTAATTCTTATTATTACATAAAAAAACTTACACCAAAAATTTGAAAAAAACATTATTTTCAAGTTTTTTAATCGATCATTATTGTTCTTCAAAAATAATTAAATCTGATTTATATATATTTTTTTTTAATTGGTGACGTTAGTCTGCTACGATATTTGATTCTACATAGAAAAATATTATTTTTGAAAAACAATAATGAGGGATGTATCAAACCGGAAGTTAAATTTCCGAATAAACATCCAGACAGTGTTTTACGTAGTTATGTCACGTCATGAAGTGAAATGCGACTGGGTAAAAAAAATTTTTTTTAGTCCGTCAGTCAGATAATAGAAAAATATTAGATACTTATTTTTTTTGCTTTAATTTAAAGTTGCGTTACAGTTTTGTAGAAAATGTACAAAAGCGTGACGTCATGCGACATTTGAACTCCGTAATTTATTGGTTACGCAAAAAATAAAAAATATATGTGTTTAATATTCTTAAATAATCTACCTGACGGACAAACAAACAAAAATTAGTCGTCATTCCCACTGTTGAGGAAGATGAGACACAGGAACGGGCGGCTATTCTCCAGAGCTTGCTATAGCATCAGTAACCAGCGCCTTACCACAGGTTGTCAGTCATTTAATTTTTTCCACCAGATATAATGATCCACCAGATTATGTCTTTGTTTAATTAAACGTATAATCGTAGATATGAGGGAGATAAACACACCAAACCATAAGAAAATCTTATTTGCAAAACCACGTTCTGATTTCACATGTAACTGGCTAAATGCATAAGCCGTGCCAAGCTACAAGAGAAAAGAAAAAATCTAATTCCAAAAAAGTGCTACGCTTTTGGAGGGTGTTTCTTCAGAAATTCAACTTCTAGTTGAATATATCCGTCATTATTGTTCTTCAAAAACAATTAAACAAAAAGAGGTGTCTTTAAACATGTTGCTACTTACGATATACCTACCGATTGTCAATGATCGTTTTTTTGTCAAGATACGCAGACAAATAGTAGATAGTTGGTTCACCAAACATAAAATAAAATTGAATTATTGAATTGAATTAGCAATACGGGCGACTGCTCTAACCACTAAGCTACCCATGACCTAAGAGGACTGACGAATTTTTCAAGCACTTGTTACTTTTTCGCTTCTATAAAGACACACAGGTTTTTTACAGGTTTTTTTCTATTTTGACTGGACTATATTAATTTATTTAGTACTATACTCCATTCATTATAGCATTAGACAGAAGTGAAATAAGGTTGTTTTTATGGTATACTTTATGACAAAATATCAATAATCATGTTACTCTTAAGACTGACGGCTAATTTGCTATATATCCACTTAAATACCAGCTGCTATACTTAACTGTTGTCATTTAAGCTATCTATTAAACAAATTTATGAGTATTTGACTAACTTAAATGATTTAATAAATATTACAATAAAAAGTGTTCATCGTAAAAAACCTAAAGAAGCAGAGTTGGATAGTTTCGGCACGATTCTCATGTCACTATAACTCTACCAAATTTAAAACGTTGCCTAACCCCTTCAAACGTTTCGGCAGTACAGCTTTTTAATTTTGTCAGACTATTATTTATTCATAATTGTTAAAATCGTAATCTGGGATTGTCATCCATCGTGAATGCTACTGCCTTTCTTGTTGTTTTGCCGTTTTCCGTGATTAAGTTGTTATTGTTTTATTTTTGTTGTTTTGTTTTGTTAAATATGGACGATGCCGTGCAGGCCCGAGTGGCCTACAAAAATTACGCTCTAAGCCCCCATACCTACCCTCAACCTTTGACATTTCAGGAAGTTTTTCCAATGTCTTCATCAATAGTCTAACTAATTACACTTACAATTAGAATTTATTAAAACAACATACAGATACTTTCAGTTTTAATTCCATTTTGGCTTGGGAGTAAAAGATGAATTTTTAAAATGCTGGCCTCATCTCAACCCCGAGGTATCTTAAAAAATTGAAAATTGTCCAGCTCTTTCAGACTAACGTTCAAAGTTTTAACAAAACTAATATATATATTTTTTTAATTTATCTTAAAAATAAAATGTTCTGCACTGCTGCTTTTATGATCCTCTTTTTTCTAATGTTATAATGAATGGAGTATAGGAAAAACCTTAAAAAGTAGGTGATTTCTGATAATACGAATAGAGCTGAGGTAGGCGGTCGATATTAGAGTATTACTTACCGTCAGATCATTTCATTTGCATGATGAAGAATTAAGTTGTGTACAGTCTGAAACGCATAATAATTTACGTTGTGATATTTAGGGAGCATCTAATAGGACTTATTTTCCTTTAGAAAGCTTTGCATTATTTGATATTTACAGTACACTGTAATATCATACCTAAGCTTGAATGAATGTTACTCATTATGAGATAATGATATAATGAAGAACGCTGAGCGATTTCGTAACAAGTAGATTCGTATAAACACACTTAATTTAATGACATCGTAATTACTCGAAATGGGTTATAGACAAATAAGTGAATAGTTTTTTCACCTGCACATAGCGATTAAATCGATTTTATTGATATTGACAATGATTAATTAAACGAATATTTCTTTCGTCTAATAAATCATTTTGATTTCGGCGATGCTATTAGCCCGGTTGAGTTTGACATTATTTTTGATTTTTTTGCGTTCTCTGAAAAGACCAGTAAATGTTTATGATCACCAGTGGTGATTGCATGATTTCAATTTTACCTGCTAGGCCGCCGGCATCACATTCTTAGCGAAATTAAGTTATCCCCGTGGCTATCAATACTGATGTAGTAGCTTCTTATCTCTCCTTCTTTTCTCTGTATTTACAAATTCTATCACTTGCTCATTTTCTATTTTAATTCCTATCACGTCTATGGATATTACCTTTAACTATACATCCAAGTACATTTACAGTGCGGTGACAAAGTCTAATTTTTTACTTATACGTATCTGGAGTATATAATATTTTATATTACTATGAATATGTTAATATTCTTTTGAAACGGTAAGTTATTTCGAAATAACTTTGTTTGTCGAAATTTCTCTCTTTTATTTTTAAATTCAATATATCTACGTCAGAAAACTACAACAATCAAAACCATTGATTAAATATATAAATATTAACATAATCATTAATAAAATCACGAAATTGTTCTTATCTATGGCTAGAGTAGCTAGAGTTAGTGATCAAGTTGCAGGTGTGAATATATTATAGATAAATGTTGCTAAAGAAACTATTTGCTTACACTTGTATCAGTTTAATATTACATAACATTAAATTGAGCGAACATTGTAGACCAAACATGAGTAACGTGACGCAGCAATTCACAACAGAATAGTACTCTAGCAGTTTTAGAGTATCTCCCTCGGGAAATTTCTTGCCATAGGAGATGTTCGGGCAACTGGAGATATATGTAATAATTTTGGCAATAAAATAATCGAAAGTTTTGATTGTGTCGGTTTCAGTGTTTTTTTTATGGTCGTGGTACACTAATTAAGATTTTAAATGGATCAACTTTTTAGAAAATCATATAAATACTTTCTTTCCACTTGGGCCTTGGCAAATGGCTCGATATAAAAGTACGCCTTATTGTCTATAAACTAAATTATTGTTCATCTAATTGATGAAAACACCAGGCAAAAACGAGTCAGACACGTGCACAGTAATGAATTCGTGTCCCAGTTATTGAATTTTAAAACTAAGAATAATGTTAAATCTATTAAAATTTTATAGATTTAACATTTAATATTGAACCATTTTCTGGATAATTTCAGGCTCTGTAGTTTCTGAGATCAAATAAGATTCAAAACTATATATTTCAGAAATATATATTAGAGATACTTAAGACTATTTTATTCGATAAGACACATGATATTAGACGATATCTGTAACCAATTGGTTCGCATGCCGAAGTTTCGAAGTGTCGCCATTTCGAGTGAGTTCGATATCTGCATTGGGCCAATGGAGAAAACAAAATTTTCATATTTAGTTCGATTTTAGCAGTCATGTTTTTATATTTTTAAATTATAAATTTTTTTTTTTTTTCCTTTTAAGTAACCAGTAAATGTGGGTATACAAGTTATATATTTTTATACTCATCAAGACCTTTATTTCCATACCCATATTGATATAATTAAATTTAAAAAAATATTTCATACTTTTTCAAATGATGTCATACATCCGCCATATTGAATAATTTAACTTTAAAATATATAGCCTATGTCACTCGAGATGACGTAACGTTTCTAATGAACCCTAATATCTGTTATGTCTTTCAAAAGTTCTGGTGTGATACTCATGGTTTATGGTGACATACATTTATACATTAGCCCTAAAAACCATATAGTCCTATACGTAAATAGGCATGTGTAATAAAGCGTTATTCTATTATTATTTTAAACCCAAAATTTGTTTGGGTTTAAAATTAAATTCAGTATGTCATTAAAAAAACTTTCAGTAATAACTATTTTGGTGAAGCCCAACAAATAAAATTATAATTTTAGCGATAAATATTAAATGTCTTCATCTCAGAAATTGACACTGACATTGAAAATATTTTTTTCGTTTATCTAAATTATCTCAAAAAGTAGAATTGTTGGGGTAACATAATTATTTTTTATATTGATATGTTTTAAAAAACCTTACTAATACGATATAATTTTCGCACTGTTACTTTTAATTACTGCTTATTGGACGTTATACAACAAAACCAGTTTTAATCGTTCAAAGTTAGTTTTATTTTTAGTCTAGTTAAGGAGTGCCATCGACGCGATGATTTGTGCGCTCGGTGTGCGATACGGTTGTTAAGCAACTTT